CTAATTATATTTTAGATTTTTTATATTTAAAATGAGATGTTTATCCTGTATTTGATTGTGTTTATCTGTAGTTAGTTACACGAATTCAGATATGGGATGAAATCGGATGGAGATGAAATCGTTTAAGAATGAACGGGTTTAAGAGTTTTTAAGAGTTTTAGCCAAATGTTTTATAAGATAGTATAGATATAATATTTATATACGATAAATTAAGCAAATAAACTTACACACCATTCTCATCTTTGATGAGATTTAAACCATTGATCTTCTAAAAAGTTAAAGACTCACATATCATTAGAGCAAAGACCCTTTGATACATGTTCTAACTTTATCACAAAAACTATAAAATATTATAAATCAACAAATAATAAAAATAAATAATTGCACAATTGTGGTCGTGCACCAATTTTTAATAATGTGGTCATCATATTTTTTTAAAGCGAGGACGGCATTTTTTGTCAAATATATTAAAAACTAAAGAATATGGATACGTGCCATTATATTATAGTCCAAATGCAAGTATTCACACCACTTGAGACAAACTCCCGACCGTTGATGCAGAGAGCACTAATTTAAGAGTTTAAACGAAGGTTATCAAGGGGTTGTTTATCTCTTAATTGTTTCATTAAAATATAACATCTGAATTGTTAAAAGATGAATCTTGTTTGAAAAAAAAAAATTTGTCTCTTAATAATTCTAAAACTCTCTGAATGATTTTGTATCTTGAGTCTCCCTTAACCATTAAGCACCCTAAATTGACTGTAAATAATTACTAAACAATTATATTTCATTTTCCACTATATCATGAAAGCATCTTAGTCATTCTGACCACTAAATCATTATCAAACCATTCAGCAACTGTCAAACAGTCCCTAAAACAACTACGATATTATATTATGTAATAGACAGTAAAAAGATATACAAAAAAGTCTAAATAATCAAACATTCTTTGGATTCTTCTTCCGGGTAGGCCAATCATACAAAACCCTCGATCTTGGCTCCGTTATCATACAAAAGCCTTCCTTAATATCGTATGCTACCAAATTACTGGAAAAACATGAGCTTGGCATAAAATTCAGGGGCCGTTTATTAAATGCTTGCTCGATAGGTGTTTACCGGGTAATTTTTCTCATCGGATGAACACAACAAGACCCAAGAATCTTACCATGTAAGAGTGATTATAAGGATAGAGAGTCTTACCCGGTAAGTGAGGGTAACGACTCTTAGCCGGGTAAGTGTTTACCAAGTAAATTGTTGCATATCATTCCATTTTGATGTAATACGATCTTATTCATAAAATAAATTATAGCGTTGACTTATAATAGTAAACGCTTACCAGGTAAACATTTAGGTAAACAGCCCATAAATTTGTGGATTCACATATAAAGTTGTTTGCTAGTTTTATGTTTCAAAATCACTCAAATGAACTAGTTTATTTTACTTGGTTTTGCAAATGGAACGTATGAGAGAACTTTTAACTTGTAATCTTTTCAACAATGATCGCATTCGACTATATTCCCCCAGCCTTCGACTGTTGTTTTTCCCATGCAATACTGAAACAAATGTCTTATTGAACATGTTATCGAAGTTACAATTTAGTCCATGAATTATGATGCCCGTTTGGCCTTTGTGCCCCTCTCTCTCTCCCCCTTTTTGTTACGTAATTTGACTTGTTTTTGCATCGCGATTGCTTTATGGAACGTGTGGTCTTTGTTGCTTCACCGACTTCAATTCAAATATGTTTGTAGTGATTATGAACTGTAATAAGAACTGTCTTTTTAGCCAAACAAAAACGACACACATTAAAATTATCAAAATATGGCATCTTGTATATATTCTCGGGAATATGTCATTTGTGATATATTATACTAAAAACATGATAATAAACAAATGAACAAAAACATATGAAATTATTTATATGGGATCTCGACCACAACATATATTCCACTCTGTTTGGCGGAAAGTTACAAAATTAATTGATTCGACGGCACAAGGTGATTCCATCTCCAACAGGAAGCATGCATATCTCGATCCTTGGATCAGCAGCCAAGGCTTTATTGAGCTCCAACACGTAATCTCTGTAATACCTTACATATTTTCTCATTGGTGCATCTGGTGGGGCAACCACAGAACCGTTCCACAAGGTGTTATCGTAACCAATCAACCCACCTACCTTGACTAAATCAATCAACCTTTTGTGGTAGTTGATGTAGTTGTCTTTGTCAGCATCCACAAATATGAAGTCATATGTTCCATGATATTTCCCCTGAATATCCATTAACCAGATATCAGATGTGAGTAAAAAGTCTGAAACCCATCCACAAATAATATCAAACAAAACTGATATCGTTAATGGCTTGAAAAACAATTTTATCATACATCGGCAATCATTTCATCTAGAACAGGCATGGCAGGGCCTTCTTTAAAGTCAATTTTGTGAGCAACTCCAGCCTTCTCAATGATAGGACGACCCAACTCATAGTTATCTCTATTTATATCCATGGCTAAAATCTGTCACAAGAATAAAATTCAAAATCATTTATCTGATATGAATTTTTCTAGAGAAGTTCAGTTCAGATTCAGACAAAGTAACGTTTTCTAATTACAAAATGAGAGCAAGTTTGATACCTTGCCATCGTCGGGAAGAGCAAGAGCAGTAGCAAGGAGGGAGTAACCAGTGAAAACTCCGATTTCCATGGTGTTCTTAGCATTCACTAACTTTAGTAGCATGTTTAAAAATTGTCCTTCATCTGCCGACGTTGTCATAATGTTCCTAAATATATTCAATACAATACCCATCAAGATAAGTAACAGACCTATGATTATGTGGTCGTATATTAAAAACCAACTAGGAAGTCAAGAGTTCAAACCTCATTAAAGGTGAGAATGATGTGTCAGTTTATTTGTTCTATTTATCGTATATATTTATTATTAAAGTTTCTTATTGATGGAAATATATTGAATATTATATCTCTTTCATTGTAATCACTTTTCGGTATTCTCCAAATTTGGAGATTTTATTATCTCTCCTACTTTCTCCATTTTAGATAAAGATATCAGAGAATTTGTTAGAACAAAAAACATACACAAAATCCTCGAAATCTTTATTTTCTTTATTTTGAAGAATTTGTTAAATTGGAGATGCTCTGATGCCGACAACAACGTGTTTTTCGATTTTGTTATTTTGTAGTGGTTTTTTATAGTACTTTAAATAAATTTATATATAGATTTTGTAAGTATATATTTGATGCTTATAAATTAAGCATTAAATACAATGATTTTAAATACTAAGACCATCTTCAACAGATTCTTTAAAATTGAGATTTTGAATATTATTATTCCAACAAATTCTCCAAAATGGAGAAAATAGAAAATAGAAGATGAAATTTTCTAGATTTAGAGAATTCTTGATTACTTGTGAAAAAAGAATCATTTTTTATTCTTCCTATCAATGAGAATCTCTGAAATTAAATGTATAGGAGATATAAATAATATTTTATGAAAAAAAATTCAATATTTTAATCTCTAAAAAAAGCTTTTGGAGATGAATATAAAATTTCTTTGAAAAGTTTGACTTTTAATTCTTTATTTTGAAGAATCTGTTGGAGATGATTTAATATAGATAAAAATGACCCATCGTTATTTCTATGATTTATATTTACGTTTGGGATTTTACGGTCTACACGAGCTTTGATCTAATAATCCGGTGTGCAAAAGCAAGACTTACCACGGATGTTTCGCCGTGACTTCTCGAAGCTCCTTCATGGATTCGGGCTCCCTCGGATACACGCTCGTTTCAAGAATATACTACAAAAATGACACAAACGGAAACTCAAATCAATTCTTTTAAAATTTTGAAATATATAATAAATTATATACAACAAAACTCAAACGAGTCGTTCCATCTTCAACGACGCTCAAACCCCTTACCTCAAATGAAACCATGATCTACCAGTAACCCGACACTGATGTTGTCGGGCTATTGATCACCCTTTGGCAACTTGATCGAGTCTTTATATATCCATGACGTCAGTCTCGTATGTTCGAGTCATGAAAACGAATAAATACCTGATAAAGAGCGTCGCTCTGCAAAAGACTCTTGTGTCCGACCTCCTGGTGCCGGCTCACTTGCTCTTCGCTGTTTGGCTCGGTTTTCGTCTCGCCGTTGATCGCCATCTTGGTTCGTTTGGTTTAAAGGGGAATGAATGGGTGTGATAGCCGGCGAACTACTACGACTAACCTGAGTTCTTCAAGGTGGAATTGGCGGAGTATATATGGGAAAAAATCTGCTCTCTCTCTCTCTCTCTTTATTAATTTAAGATTCCTTTTTGTATTTAATTTAATATTTTCTTATATAAATTAATTATATTTATTTTTTAAAGAAATTCTCTCCCTTATTATTTTTAATTTTATTTTATTTTTCTTTCAATATAATTATTTTTTGCGTTCCGATTACTTGTAAATTCAGTTTAACTAATTTTTATATTTTTTTAATTAGGTGTCAAATTTTTATTGGTGTTAAAGTTCAGGTTCAAACCGGTAAACTGGGGAATAGAACGGCCACAAATTACCCGGTTGGGGATTAGTGAGTTGGTGTTGGGCCCTACCCTACTATGTGGTAGGCTCGTCAAGGTCGATTATGTCATGGAGCGTTTCTTGTTTTAGACGGTGATTTTGAGCGTTTCTTTTTCACAAATTTACCATTTTAAGTTATCCTTATTCTTTTAGTAATTAAAAGATATTCATGCAATACAGCAAAATACATCTTAATTTTAATGTTTTATTTTATTCTATCTCCTTCGATATTATAATACAATTTTATGTGGTACCGAAAAAACGATAATGTCTTTATTTTTTTGAATAAAATATAAATTTGAAAGTATCATAAAATTTTGGAAAAAATATATATCGATTTCTATATCAAATTAAATATTTAAAAATTCTTGTTTTTTGTGTAATTTCTTTAATTTTATTTTTTATTATAATTTAATTTAGATTTAATAATGAAATCATTTATTTTTAGTTTAATAATATAATTATATTATAAAGATAATATTTAGTATTTTGAATTCAATGATTATTCTAAATATATTTTATATTTAAAATGAGATACTTATCTAGAATTTGATTACGTTTATCTGTAGTTAGTTACACAAATTCAAACATTGAGCTTTGATAAGTTGTACATATGGATAATTTATTTGTAAACTTAAATTTTAAGTAATATGCATCAATAAATAATATTTAATGCATAAAAAATGGTTTTTATCAAATACGTTATAATATAGTATATATATATATATATATATATATATATATATATATATATATATATAGACAATGGTAGCACAACTAGAAAATATAGAAAATGTGATCAGTACGTGAGGGTGTTTTAGTCATTTTATCTAGTTATATATATTTTTTTTGTAGTGTATATGTTTTAATTAAAGATGTACAAGTAGGTAATGTGTTAAAAAAAACAAATTAAACATCCCTTTACCCATCATCTTCCTCACTGTTTCTCTCTACACAGGACACGCCACCAATAACATCTTCATTTATGTCGATGAGATCGATGTGTGGCCCTTCCCCCCGTCTTCAATAATGTCGATGGTGGTCGTCGTCGATGGTGGTGGCAGGAGAGAATTGGGTGAGAAGACATCTATTTGATTGTAGGAATTGTCATTTTCTATTTATATCAAGATCATCATCATCAAGTCTTTGTTATCCATGGCCCTGGTCGTTTTTTCTGTCCAAACCTCGTAACACATTCAACAATTCATTCACACCAAACTCAAAAATCAAAATCGAATACAAATCCAAATTGAAACTAAAACTGTTTCAAACTGTAACCTAAATAAAAAACCTAGTCTAAATCTAGAAACCCTAATCCAGATCCAAATCCAAACTGAAAAAGGCTAATTTGATGGTGCAGTACGTGAGGAGCATATGTGGCGATGGTTGTTTCAAAACAACAAGGATCCAAGGAAGGGGGATATAATTATAATATGTTAGCATTTGTTAAGAATTAGGAAAACTTGCAGCACAATGCCCGACAACGTTCGTTGGTTCAGGGGTTGACAAACTTGGTGGAGTCACAGGTTCCTGGCACTGTGATGGCAGGCTCGTAATCGGTATCTTTTCTAGTAATAATTTGTACACTAAAAAATCGGCTGAAAAGACGACTAAACATATGAGGTGACTTGATAGATGTTTTTTTAACGATCGAGGGTAAAGAACTGTGGTTGTAACACTCGGTGAAAAACAAGAATAAATTCGTAATTTTTAAAGCAAACATAATTTCGATTGAGCTTAGGGTTTATTTATGTAATTACTCGGCTATAAACATTGAAAGATGGCAACCACACGTCCACACCCATTAGCATTTACTTTTTCTTTTATGATACTTTAATTGAATTAGAGGAATATACACAAAATCATATTCATTAAAATTAAAATCATGGTCTATTATTTCATTGAATGAATTGTAGGAATATTAAACAAAATCAGATTTATTAAAATTAAAATCATATATATAGTAATGTTAGCATTATTTTATTCGGTACTTACCATTTTATTACAGATAATATATAAATAACTAACTAAAGTTTTGTAGAAACATCTTCAACATATATGCTATATATATATATATATATATATACTTGGAATTATGTGAGACGAAAGGTTTTTTGTAAGACCCGTGAGACCAATTCTCAACCCTTGAATTAGATTTACAATCTGAACATTCATAATCACAAAATTGCCACGAGACTTCTCAATAATCACAAAATTGTCATCGTGCAACTTTAGATCATTAGCTTATAAAGTTGATCAATGAATATAAATTGGTCTTACGAGTCTCACGAAAAATCATGGATCTCACGTGAACCCGACCCTATATATATATATATATATATATATATATACTAGAAGCGTACTCGCGCAATGCAGCGAGATACATCATGATTTTAATATTTCATTTTATTATTTATTTCAGTCGATGTTATAATATAGCTTTATGTGATTTTGAGAAAGTAATGATGTTTTTATTTTTAAATAAAATATATGTTTGATGATATCATAAAAATTTGACAAAAATATATTGATATTAGTATCAAATTAACTATTTGAAATTCCTTATTTTTTGTGTAATTTTTTAATTTAATTTTTTATAATTTAATTTATGTACAATAACAAAATAAATTTTTTATTTAGTTTAATAATATAATTTTTATTTTGTTGGAACTCGATAATTATTCTAATTATATTTTAAATTTTTTATATTTTAAAATGAGATGTTCATCATCTATTTGATTATGTTTATCCATAATTATTTATACGAATTCAAACATCGAGCTTGTATAAGTTGTACTTATGCATAATTACTTGTAATCTTGAATTTTAACTAATATGCATCAATAT